TGACGAAATTTTCCGCGTGGGTCGGTGGTTTCCAGTCAGGGTTCGTCAAAGTGAAATGTATGAGGGACAGTTCTGTCTTTCCATCTTCCGCTTGAGCATTTTGATTTGACAGAGGTATTTGAATCTTTTCTGGTTCTGTGGCGTATTGATTATCGTATCCTGCACTCCTATCGTCTATAGGACTCTGAGTAACTGTCTGCCACATAGGATTGCCATGTTTTCGCACGTCCATTTGTGCGAAGCTGCATACATCTCCAACGCCTGTTACCTCGATGGTGAAATTACGATAAAAGTCGACAATGTCCAAGGCTCGTTGTCTCATGAGGAAGCAAAGAATGAACGGTGTGAGCAAAGGGGAAATTAATTCTTCTAAGAGGTGAACTGCACGATATTGGAATAGTTGTGCCACTTCGGCTCTCGTGGTTTGAGTGTGAGCATGACCTCGCCAACTATCCGGTCTGTAGTGTGTATGCGCTAGGACAGCAGTCAACAAAGTCTCTGGACACCAAACTAAATTCTCGTCGGGTATAAATGCCCTTGCACCAGCCACCATAGCTCCCAGTATAGTCATGGTAGTCAACACATGTTCTACTGTTAGTACATCTTCGTCGTATACAGTCAATATTAGTAAAACCGCTAGTATACTACCGGCCACGAAAGCAACGTTCTTCGCGATAACGGTCATAATGGGAGACGTAAATATGCTCATGTATTTAGAGGCTGGATGGTAGGCACGATTTAGACGTGCGTTTAATTCGTGATCGAGCTCGTTGAAGTGACGGAGGTATAATCGACCGTATAAAGACCACATTCTGCTACCTAGAGTTCCTGGCTCTCGTTTGATGATCTGTTAGGGAACAGAAATACAATGAATTTTTACACGAGAAAACATAATTGGCTCGTTAACTAGAGATACCCACCTCACCGTAATTAAAGAAAGAATATAGTATCTGCCATAGTAGAATCAGTGGACAAAGTACAAGATTCGCTATTCCAACCCACATGATATGCTTGGACAGTGATTTCGCAAGTTCCTGCCTTTTGTTCAATTTTTTGTAGTCCTCTTTGAGATGCCAATTGTTTTCAAACGGAGACCATGGCCCCCCTGCGTAATAATAGTAATAATGATGATAATAATGAAATATTAACAACGCATTTAATCATCGGCTATCGAAATATATCGAAACTTACAGAACAAAAGTAACTCCATGTTGTATTTTAATCCTCTTGTCATGAAAATAACTTCCCCCACGATAGGGATTTTCAGTCGAACAGGCAACAGGGATTTGTTGATCATTGCCACCATATAATTTTTAAATCTTAATATTCTATGGTATATATCTAATTCCGTAAGCTCTCTTTTGTGAATGCACATCTCCTGCTCCTTTTGCACTTCTCTGACGCGCTTTTGTACCTCGTACCAGGTCAGATTGTCCAGATCGCAGTCTTCGATTTTCAGCGCGGTGTTAAAGAATAGTTTAATGTCCCAAAACTGCGTGAAATGGTACAAAACTTTTACCAGTCGTAAAATCCAAAAAATTGCAGCTACTAATATACAGATCCAAGTGACCCAACCCATTGACGCTGAACATTCGCCCGTTGATAGAATGGCGTCGCTTATCGACGTTTTGTGCGAGGTGCTATTAGTTACATTGTTTCTGAAAATAAACAGATCCCATTACAGGATTCCTCGTTTATTTCGGTATTTACATGTAATATATCAAGTTTGGTATCAACCAATGAAATCTTACTTAAATAATACGGAATAATCTATGCAATGAAAGAGGAAAGTTGAAAAAGTGACTACAAAAACGAATTGTCCTAGTTCAAGCATTTCTTGCAGCATCATACAAGCGAACCCATGTTTTTGGTGGTAGTGGTACATTCTTGTAAAAAATGAATCTAGATCTTCCACGTGATTCCATCTGGCCTTGTTTCCTTCTGGAACCACGTGAATCATCACACCAGATTCCTGAGGTGTCTCCTCGTGCTCATCGTCATCTTCCCCATCCTCCTCCTCTCCATCGTATGGCTCCATGCGTTGATAGCTGCCATCCAATACCGTTGTCATCTGTAAATTCCATCTGCTTAGTTTCTACTTCATAGAGAGTAGTTGTAGCAGGATAGAAGAAAGTAATAGATTATATTATAATAGGAAAGGTATGGAGAAGATAAAATAAGAAAAGTATAACATGCAGTTAAACTTGTCAGGTATAGAGAAAATCCTAAAGGACAGAGTCTTACCGTTTTTGCTCGTCGGTTCGACTCTACACAGGTTATGACAGTTTCTCGTTTCATTCTTTCATGTCATTTAAGAATATTTAACTACCGGTCAATGGTTGCTCCGCAAGCATCTAAAATGTAAGCCACCCACCAAAATGAACGTGTTAACACGCGACACATGAAAAAGATTTGTATCTAGCTGTTAGGTTATTTATTGCAAACATTTCCTTCAAACCCTTCTTTGTCTACTTTTGTTCCTTTGTCTAAGGCAATTCTGTTCTTATCTACCAATGATGATGTCAACTTATTTCTCAATGTATTGGAAATTCAACGTTTCATCATTGTGGTCGTTACCTTAATATTTTCTTAACCAATACACTCTCTCATGAATCATTCTCGGACAAAGTATACGCATGAGACGACTATTATTGAGAAGATTTCGCATAGCGAACAATATTACTTCGATAACACCGAAGAATAAATAAACTAAGGGGAAAAAAATGTTGGATGATCGATTAACGCGCAATAGGAAATTGGATTCGTTGTTCTATAAGAGGATGATGCATTTGATTTTTTCGATATTTTCAAGGGTGAAATCTAGTTTAATTTCAACGAGATTACGAACAATATGCCCAGCTTACGAAGTATAGTTCTCGCTTCGAGCATCGCTTTTGTCTTTGCTTTTCGGCTGACCTTTATCCGACGAAAATAGAAGCGTCGTAGACGCACCAGCGAAAGCGATTGGAATGTTTGGTAACACAGCTGATCTCCATAAACAAAGCATCCTGCCGTACCTTCGTTTTTGCCGACTTTCGTTCCGCTTTCCAAATTGACACGTGCTTATTCCTACCAGCTGCACATTCATGTATCCTCACTCACATATTGACCGCGACGCGAACGATTATTCACTGCTAATTTAGATATTGAATCGTTAAAAACATTCGACCAAATCCCCGTGTTTCACCATCATTGCTGAATTTTGCTTCTATTTGTAGTTCAGCTCGTTCCGCCTGGCACGAACCGTACGTTGATTTTAGGAAGTATCGTTCACGCAGTTGAGCAGCTGATAAGAGCGATTTCTTCGTTAACGTTTAACGATTATTACGCGCCTTTAACCTCTCGATGCCACAAGAAAAATCTATACGGTACAAAACGATAATGTACTTGGCTACATAGTGTAAATATATTTTTTTTCTTCTCAAGGGGCTAGCTGTTCGAATGAATCGAGAACAACAGTGTAATAATTAGGTTTACATATCTTTAATTATTGCAGTATCATATTTACAGCGTATCGTGGAACATCGTAATTACAAAAATATTATTTTACGATACGACACGTGTCGTATTTCGTTCTACGAGTATCTTAGTTCGCGTAGTTATTAAATAAAGGTAACAAATCGTATTGTCGTTTTCAATTGTGGACATTATCGCGCGAATTCAATGAAAATTCTCAGGGATCAAAAAAATCACCGGTACATGTTTCCTCTCGTCCATGGCATCGCGATTACGCCTCGCGATACAAATGCATAGAGGGCATGGAGAACTTTCACCGATGAAGAATACCGCGCCAACTCTCTACACGTTCCTCTACGACTTAATGCTAAAATTGCAACAATAACACTCTCTGTCCTCGTTCCGCGTCTCGATTATTCGTTCTCGACAATGATCGTGGTGGAAAGAAGAGGATTTTTCTCAGCTTCGAGCACGAATATTCAAGGCTTAAGAACGATAATTTACGTTCCCTTTCAAGCTCGTTCTCGTCGAATATTTTCTCCACTTTCTTCTTCTTCCTCCTCTTATTCTTGGTTCTCGCTATCGAACATGGTTCCCCTCTCTCTCGGATTCTTATTCCCGAGAGATAATTTGTCCAGGACGTCGAGGCGTTATCCTACGTCTAGGTGCTAGGAGTCCTCCCAGTCCTCTAGTTTCTTCGTGTTTCGTGCTAGCGGCTGTGCTAGTCTCAGCGGAAGTGGCCTCGGTAGTTTCCGTCTCGCTGGACGCGTCCGGTTCCTCGGACACCTCTTCCTGGCTAGCCTGCGGAACTGGTGCCTCGGTTACCTTTCGTCGAGGCAATAAAGGCGACCTTCTGGACGCCAGAGGCACAGGTGACCTGGTTGTAGTTTTAGGATGCACCTGCAGTCTGTTTCGATTGCGTAGTTTGTTCAGAGGATTGACAGTGGTGGATTTACTCGGTGGTGGACTTGTCTCTGCAGGCGCCTGCGAAAAAGAAAAACAACAAGAATATACATTTTTCACCGATGCTTGTGCGATTGTAGATAGCTCGTGCGTGTGTGTGACGACACAGTTCTTGAAAGACGAGAAGCAGTCGCGTGACATTTTGCGAAAGGGCATTCAGTGAAAGCGACGAGTTCTCGTCGCGACGCGATGGGGGGCGGAGGACTGTCTGAGAACGGAATTTCTTAGGAACGTATCAAACGTAATTGTCAATTTTCCAAGGTTTAACCTTACGACTTCTTTTTTTTTTTGTAATCTAGAGATAACTATTTGCGGGTTTAATGCAGTATTGGGGGATAATAATAACATATGATAATACGCGTAATTGGATTAGATTAGAGTTGTGTACCTCGTGAGTCTCCTCTTCGGTTCCCTCTCCAGCTGGCTCGTCTATAGACGATTCTTCCGAATTCTCTGCAGGGATAGGCGTGGTGGTTGTAGTGGTAGTCGATTGACCCGGTTTCGGTCTGAGATTTACACGAGCACCGGGTTTGATGACCGGTCTAGCTCCTGTTGCCGGAAGCCTCGAACGAACGGTCGACTTTGGTGCCGCAGTAACGGCTTCCTGTGCGGTTTCCTTGGTGGACTCTTGGCTCTCTTCGCTAGCATTCGGTGTAGTGGTCGATGGTCTTCCTCCTCGTCGTCGATTGATGTTCAGTTTGTTGAAGGACGGTCTCGATATTCCCGATGGTCCATTGGAAGACGCGGTCGAACCTCCGTTAGAAGGAGCAGACGTGGTCGTAGAGACCGATCTCGTACCTCCTGTACCACGGAATCTGTTGCGTGTTCCCGACGAGGGTCTTTCCGCTTGAACCGCGCTAGAGCTCTCCTTTTGCACCGCGTCCTCTTCCACGGTAGATTGTTTATGTCCAGGTCGATTCCTCTTGAAACCTCCTCCGTTAGATCCGTTGCTACCAAAGCGTCCTCGAGTACGTTGGGTTGGTTCTGCTGGAGATTCTGTAGTCGTCGTGCTTCCACTTCCGTTCGACTTGTATCTGCCGGAGAAGATCGAATGGAATGTCCACGATATTTCAACACTTGAACCTACTTTTCGCTACTAATAATTGTAAGAACGACTGTACGACTAATTGCAAGAATACGAGAGTAGAGTCTGAGAGATTCGTTGCTCAAAATGTTACCTGTTTCGTGAACCTCCAGCTCCTCCACCGATACCTGGTCTCCTGAACTTGCCTCTTCCAGCGGGTGCCTGAGTGGTTGTAGTGGTAGGAGGTTCGGTGGTAGTAGTCGTGGTAGTAGTAGGGGTAGTAGTAGTAGCGGGCGTAGTAGTAGTTGTGGTTAATTCTGTCACAGACGTCGGGATAGTAGTTGTCGTGGGTTCAGTAGCGAGCGTAGTCGCGGACAATTCCGTCACAGCAGTGAAATCAGTGGTACTTTCGTCGTTCGAGAGTGTAGTTCCATAGGAAGAAGTGTCTGTAGCCTCGCTGCTGCTGGCATCCACCAAATTATTCTGACCTTGTTGCACGAAAGCATACAGATCTAGAGCAACTTTGTCCATCGAGGATGGATACTCTGTTGTAGGACTTTCAGTGCCTGCCGAGGAAGCGGTACTCGCCGAAGAATAGTCCTGCTCTTCGTTCTCTTGCTTATTCTCCGAAGACACTTGTTTCTCTAATACCGGAGACGTTTCTCCCTTTTCGTCTTCCTTTTCCTCGGTGGCTCGCGATAATTGCCCTCTGGTAGGTTCGACTTCGTCCTACAGAAGAGAAGGAACAGTAGCGTTCAAGTTGCGTTATTAGCCGATTGCACAAGATAGCAAGGTAATTACTTCGGTAGGGAGTGTGGTGACCGATGGCCTCCTCCTTGTGGTAGGAGCAGGCACGTCCTCGATGATTTCTTCCACCGGAGCTGGTTCTTGGACTCTTTGGGGTCTCCCTCGTCCTCTGGTTGCCGGTTTCTCTTCACCGGCGGCGCCGCCTCCGCCGTTCTCCTCGTTTGGAGTGACCCCGAGAAATCGAACTGGTCCCTTAGGTAAGACTTGAGGGAATTCCGGGCCCTCTTGGTGCGTGCGGAAGCTGCTCGAATCGACTAGATCTAATCCGGGTCTGGGACGATTTCCACGAGTTCTGGTCGATTCCGTGGTCCCCGTATTGTGATTAGATCTCGATCTGTCATTCGAATGAAACGAATTATTATACTCCGACAAAAGGTGGCTCGTTAGAAAAGGATACACTCACCTTGGAGGGAATCTAGTATTGGTCGGCAGTCTCTCCTCGGACACGTCTTCAGCTTCGATCAGCTGTCTGCTTCTGTTGTTGCCATTCCTGTTGGGAATCACTTCGTTGCTGGCAGGTTCAACCGTGCTAGACCTCTCCGCGCTACTGTACTTGTTTCTGTTGGTGGAGGAGCCGCCGCGCCTAGGCGCGGGCGTGGTTCTAGAAGGAACGTCGTAAGAATTGGTGACGGCCGAGTCCGCGGTACCCGCCTTATTCTCATCCTCCTCGTCATAGTAATAATATACGTACTCGTATTCGTAGTCCTTTCCGTTTGGTCCCTTTTTTACCTGTTCAACAAGATTTCATTCCTCGTGTATATGTACACATGTCGGTGAGACACTTTGGACGGAAAAATCGAAAGTAAATCCCTCTCACCTGGATACGCGAATTGGTGCCAGCGGGAACTAAACTGACGTCGCTGAAGTCGCCGAAATTTCTCTCGCGAAAGGACGTCTCTTTGCCATCGTCGCGGATAATGTTGACGGGAACAAAGTCGAAGGCACGCGCCTCTCTTGGCGTAGTCAGAACAGGCATCATAGTGGTTGGATATTCGTCGCTGAAACGGATGAAAAACGAAGGAAATTTAGCCGACGAGCCTCGCCCCGTAACACAGCTCCTCGAGATTCATGGAAATATTTTTACCTGACGCGCACTCCAGGAATCACAGAGTCCCTCTGGCCATCGAGGCGAGATCTGTGCGTATCTGTTCTTCGAATTCCATCCTCTTGAAGCACCCCGGTGTCGCTGAAGTTCTCCAACTCGACGCGAACCTGTCGTTTCGTAGTGTCCGCTTTATCTTCGTCGATGAAATCGAAACGCCTAACCGGGTCGAGATTGGCTTGCTTTTTATCAAAAGTTTCCAACTTCGGGATAACCTTCTTCGCGTGTTTCCCATCCTTGGAGGCAGTTTTCCTTTCTACATCGACGACGTCGTCGTCCTCTTCGTCGAAGTCCGACGGTCTCGCGATGCTCTCTGGTAGTTTGTGAGACGTGACGAATTCTACGAATAGAAAAGGGAACAGATAGAAGGTTTACGAAGCATATCGAAGATACATTTTCCATAAGAAGAAAAACTTACCTCCGACAGACACCGGTGTACTTTTAGACGCGTTCTCGGCTAGTGTGCACGCGATCACGCAGGACACCCTGTGTACGAGAAATAAATTGACGAACGTAGAATTATAGTCTAAGAGAGATCAAACGCCTATATGTATACACAGGGCAACAGACAACGCTCCGCGTGGTGAAAGTTCGCGGTCTGGTCGGTGAGCTGGAAGCTGCAGGCCAGCTTGGCCTGTTCTTTTCATACTCTGGATAAGCTCGCGTTAAAGTTCAACCGCATGCTTGAGGGAACATCCTCGCGTTCCATCGCGACGCATCAACCGATCGTACTATTACGTATTAACCGATATTAACGAAAGAGATGCAAGTAGGAGATTTCTGGAAGCTAGTGGAAAAGTGCCACCTGCTCCGTTTCGTCTGTAACGAGAACAATTTTCGTGAGCGGATAATTGGAGTTGGACGAAAAAGTCAAGGCCGTCTAGTAGCGTGGCTGGGAACAGCGGTGCGACCTCGTCCTCGTTTGCTCAAGGCTGTACGTTGCTCGAGGCCGAAAATCTGACAGGATCCTGAGAGAAGATCCATTTCTTCGTACGAAACGAACGAACGAACGGAGAGGTGTGTACCGCTCGAGGATCGAGAGGCATGCCCGGGACAAGTTCGAAAATAAATTGCTCGGATGTTTTAGAATCGATGCAGGAAGAAAAATGAAAGATGGAGCGTATGTAAGGAAACGAGTTGTCCGCAAGGTCGATCGGTTACGATCGATTACCTGTGCGGATCAACGAAGGAGAGCCGCTCAGCAAGGGCTCGTTGTCTGGCAACGTTTTCAAGTATTTCGCCTTTTTGCACGGACGAAAAGGTCGCGACGCGTTTCTGTCCGATAGAAAGTCGATGGCTTCATGAGCTCTGCCGCGACATTTGCGAACGCGATCGAAAGGAACGATATATAGATATATACGTGCATCCTGTTTGTGTAGAGCGTAGGATCGGCGGTATTCACCGTTGGCAACCTTAAAATCGTTCACGTTAAAAAGCCCACTAGCCGGATTCTCTGTGTAAAGTGTTGTAGAAACCGTTTCCGGAGAGATTGATTTTTCGGATGACGATTCGAAGGTTGAGCATAGCGAGGGAATTTATCGCGATTCCATATGGAGAAAGCTGTCTCGCTTACAAGCGTATGTAGTGTGGGTATCTCCAGTGGCACGAGACACTCGCGTTACGTAACTCATAACATTACCGTGAAAGCCTATTGCAAATCGGTGAATATTTTTTCTGGTAATTTTGCGAATCGCGCTAAGTAGCTTGGCAAACGTTGGGAGGATGTAACCGAGAGAACTTTCTATTTGACCAGTTTTGCACTGTTGCGCAAAGGATCGTAAAATACGCGCGCGAGGATGCGAGACATTGTCGTTTCGATCGTCTCGCGAGAAGGAAAACGTTGGAGCGTTTCCCCGCGATTCTGCGAAAGTCGCGACCGAGAACGAGAATGCTGTACGACGGCGATTTTTTTTTCTCGATTAAATCGCCGGAGAGAGCGATCTCTGATGAGATTGTAACGATGCAGTAACGAGCGAACTTTTACGATAATTCCCGTCTATCGACACTCTTCCACTCGGCGAGTTAATCGTCAACATTTTCTTACACTTTGAAGAAAAACAAACGGCCAACCGACGACGCTAATTACCATTCCTCGGGGACGTCGTTAACGATGCAAAGAGAAGTATCCGAAAACGAAACCAAGAACGCGTGATAACGCTTTTTTACACGATTAACTGTGCTTTCGACCGAGACCAATTATTGTGAAATAACTTGATTCGCGTGTATATATGTATATATACGTAGGTATCTACGTAGATCACGGAACGGAGTCTAGTTTGCCTGGGTATCGCGTCGATCGGTTTCTTAATGGTATACAGTTGAGGGTACGTTGGAACTGGATGCAGCGGTACTTACAGGAGGACTGCTTTGAACCACATGTCGGCGATTCCTCTTGGACTCGTTGCGATAGGAGAGCAGCAGCTGGATGGTCCAGACGCTTGCTCGCGTAGCAGACCTTTCCCCTGTTTAGGTCGGTTCGAAGCGGAAAATGCGAGGCAATGGTAACGATGGTGGTGGTGGTGGTGGTGTAAGTGGTGGTGCGATGTATCGGCAGAAAATACTGAGAGAACACGTTTCGTCACCGGACACTCGCGATCATCGTTGCCCTCTCTTCGAGACGACACTCTCGTGCTCCAGCTGCGAGACACACCGGCGGTTTCACGCGCGTTCTGCGTACCTGGTTGCTTCGCTCTCGGCTCTCGCTCCCTCTCTTTCCCGTGAGTGGAAGCACACAGAACGGGATAAACGGGTGGAAAAGGAGAGAAAGAGACGCGGAAAACGAGGCGAGGAGTAAAAGTAAGAGGTAGTCGAAGGACGTGGTGAGGGTATGAGAACGGCGGCGAATGCAGGCCTCTACTTATACGCCACCCACCACGGCCACCTGGAGAACACCCCACCAGCCCATGAAAACTGGACACCACGTAGTCGAACTCGACTCGATGTGTACGCGTGTTGTCTCGACTATTTGCTCGGCTGTTCGGCTCCTCGCCGCTGGTTCACCCAGTTTACCTATGTTCCACCTAGTTCCACTCCGTCTCTTCCACACCTCTCCTCGCCAGTTTTCCTTTTCGTCTCGTTTCACATTCTCGTTTATGGGAGGACGAAGCTGCTGCACGCGGGAATTCCAAGGAGCTGCCGGTGAATCGCTTTCACGAATCGCGTGAATCATGTAGCCCCACGGTCGTTGAAAGGCTAGACCGTACGTTGACGACAGAGTGAAAATGCTCTTCCTCCCAGCAACCAGCTTCCTCCAAAGCTAACGATTTTCAAGGATCCGAGTAACGCGACGGCTGCTGCTCTCACTTTCCGCGAAAATTTTCAAGTCAGTGTACGGGACACGTTTGATACGCTACTCGATAGGTATCGTAGGTGTCAAGGCCCGGTGGAACATAGTGAGTTCCGTAATCATATATAAGCAATCCGCAGCAGGCGCGTCGAGAAGCAGAAGGTAGGTGCCGCGTTAAAGGTCTTTACGTCTCGTTGCGCAAGAAGAATGTCGATCCATTAGGACCAGACCAGGCCCGGCCTATACCCGGTATATATCGCGACTACCAACGACATCCTTTTTCTTCTTCTTCTTCTTCTTCTCCGTCGAACGAAGAAAGGAAAAAAGAAGGATTACGCCTAAACGTGGCAAGCAAACAATAACCTTGCTCCTTGGGAGGATCTGTATTGGATCAAGGTTGCGACGTAAAAGCATGGTACATTGGTGGCGTCTGTTTCGTTGGTGGAGCATCAAAGCACAAAGTCTGCGGCAGGCACACACGTCGATACACCCACAGAACTGCTACGAGACTTTCTCTCGACAAGGAGAGCACTCGTGCGCGCCCCTTTGCCGAGCAAGCACGCGAAACGGCGGAGAACAATGTCTCCTGTTATTGTGCGCGCGTTATTGTAGTAGAGTAAGACTGGAATAACCGGAGGAGCTGGCTTCTGTAGGAGCAGAGAGTCGACGTATCACGAATCGTATATGGATGATGGATGAATTAGCCGCGGTCGATTACCATTCAGCCTGGCGCCTACTATATCCGCTGTACCGAGCGCGGTCCGAACCTTCTGCTGCGTACAAATCGAAGGCTAAATACGGCCGGCCATTGACTGCGCTTGCCCCCTTCGGCTTACACAGGTGCATCGTGCCCAGTACGCACCACACCATCAGTTATTATGCCAAGTTTTACCATTTTCATCTTTCTCTCGGATTAGTTCGCGATCGTCCGTTCGTTTCGCAACGCATATTTTACATTGCAAAATGCAATATCGCCGAGTGACGCATCTCGCGAAGATAGGCTCGCGTAGGCTTGATCCTTTTTTCGTAATTCCTCGAAAGGATTATTGAAATCTGTTTACGCGTGTATGGTCATACGAGCGAGCAGAATGCACCCGAGAACCTTGACTGCACTTTCGCGGAACTCGAGCCGCATTTCAATGGACCTTCACGGTTCGCGCGATTTCTCGCGATACACTTTCGAGCAGACCGCGTGTGTGTGATTTTTACAAAATCCACGCCAAATTTTCACGCGCTCGCGACCGGAGCGGTCAGACCGGAGCCGATACGAATCGACCGGCTCGCGATCAAAATTCCGCGCACGGATCACGATTTAACGTTAAAAACCCACGCCTTCAAAATGGCCATTCACACCGTAGGTCTTGACTTTCTCCGTGTTCGCGTTCTAGCCAGCATGCGTAACTACCGTCGTGAGTAGCTATTTAGCTTCTCGTGCGTCATCGATTCTTGTTAACCCAAGATCGAGGAGAACCACTGCACGACAAAAAAAAGAAAACTGCACCTTTTAGATTCTACGTTTCGAAATTTCGCTCGTTTACGCCGGGAATCTTGGAACGTTTGAGATTTTTCAACGTCTATTCGACGCACGATTTTGCAAATGAACACGTTCATCGGGAGGTTAATCTTCTCTCGTCGTAACGTTATCGTATACGAGCATGACGTTATCGTATACATATGTACGCGTATTTACGATGCATCGCGTGGTCGTTAGAAAAATCACGCGAGGTAAGGAGCTAAAAAATGAAAAAGAGAAGCGAGTCTAGCCGATGAGTCTCTGCTTCGAATTCGCCTTTACAAAGTTCACTTTCTCTGGGCACGGATGTGTTGAAGGCTCGTGGAACGTCCACGGGACGTGATCGCGATCGTTATTGACGAGATCCATGGTCTATTTGTAAGCTTGTTTGCTCCGGATATCAGGGTTCGTTGTTAACGCGACGGGGCAACTGGTCAATGGCGAGAGAAGTGAAATTTCCAGGTTGCGAAACATCCTCTGGACGCGAGGTCGAACGCGACCAGCTCCCGTTCAATGTTAAGGACAACCGAGAACCGGAATCTAAGATACCACGCCGGTGGAACATCTTCGTCGATGACTTTCGCTCTCGATAACAATGGCCCGCCTCCTTTTCGAGGAACAGCTTCGTTGTTCGACTCGGCGGCCGTAGGAGGAATGCATCGGACGCTAATAGTGCTCGATTTGGTCGGGAAGCCGCGATGATGAAACCTGCCGAGAGGCGCCTTGAGGAATTTCATGGAAAGTGCCTCCCATCGTCATCGATCCTACCTCCCACCAAACAGTTAACCGGTTAACCGGTCTGGATGCCTTTATTCTTTTATCTTTCGGCGACCGTGACGGCCAAATCGTGCCACTCCGATTCGCGGCTCTTTGCCGAGCCATCCGCGTGAAAGCGTATACGCTTGTCTATCTCGTACTTGGCTATTGCGTAACCGAGTGTCGCGTTCATCTTTCAACTGACGTATACGTAGGTATCTATGTACACATGTAGAACGGTACGGAGGATTGGGTTTGAAGAGAACGAATGTTGGTAGAGGTTGAATTTTTGCCGAGGCTTATTCCAGTTTGGTAAAACTTGACCCAGATCGCGTCAGCTTCCAACACGTTTCGTTACACGGATCGATGATGGGGATGGAGAGCGACCTTAACATTGGTGCACGCGGTAGGCGTGCAGTCTGCGTATCGTCCGAAGGAACCAATCTCTCAAACCACGAAGAAACTTGGAAGGAGTTTTACTCGGACCTGGACTCGTTTACGCCCTTAGATACGACGTACCTTCGTTTGAGAAACATTCACGGATACGATATCAGGGAAAGCGACTAAGGATCTCCGCTCGGAGAAAGTCCTTCCCTCTTCCTCCCCGGCGCTTCGTTTCATTTTCGAGCCTCGTTATCGCTCGTAACGCCCGTATTCGTAGCTCTTCGTGCAGTTTTTTCCCTCGGTTTCATACGAGAAGATTACGCGTGGCTGTTTGCAACAAGCCAGCTCGCAAATGAAGTGCAATTATACGAGTTGTTCTCACCGCGAGACGCGAAGACGACGTATTTCCTCTCTCGAGCTATGTTACAGTTTGTGCAATACATATAATGAGAAATAACGTGGCTCGCCTCGCGTTGCATTTCTATAATCGTTTCCTCATTTCGTAACGGAGGCCGTTGTTGTCATCGTCTTAGTCTTCGTCGCGGCTCTTCTCCTCTTCTTTCCGAACGCGATGGCGCGTTTTTTCGAGCGGCTCGCGAAACCAGATATTTGAAACTTTCTAATATCGCGTTTACGCAATTTCCTTCCGGCTTCGTTATTACTTTCGTAAAGGAACGCGATCTTTATCGATGAGCCATCTTCTTCGGAGTATGACAATAGGCAGGTTTCCGTGGCGGCGAGAGACGAAGCCACGTAGAGAGATCGTTATTACCGCTACATCTGACCGAGGCTTCGGTGACATTATCGAAAGGTCAGCGTAGGACTGGTGGTGTCTTCTCTGTTAAAAGTCATTGCACGAATCGTGTCGCTCGGGTCACGTAGATGTAATACATCCAGCCTCGAAACACGAATATTATGGTAGCGATTAATTGTGATAGCATTTTCGCCGGGGTGTCTGTCGATATCTGGCTGCTGTTAGCAGGCTACAGAGGTCGGGAGAAACGGGAAATTATCGGCGGAATGTCGCCTCACTCAAGGATGACCGGTGAATAGGACGCCTATCTGTTCTTTCGTTGGACTGGCTGCCAGCAATTGTCCCAATTGTAGATTCCCTCGCGAGAGCGGCCATTATTCGTTTCGCTTATGTACAGTAAATATCGTTTCCACGTAAAAGAGAAAATGTCGCGAATTCTCGTGTAAAGATGTGAAATACCGCGGCACAATCCGTTGTGTGTTTTTTTTTTTTTTCTCATTTCTCGAGGTGTCCTGTGCTGCGTTATCAGACGGGTGACGCGACGACTCGGATGGTCTTTGCGAGTGAAATGCTTCTCGCGAAGGCCCCAAGGCCGACGAGATACCGCCTCTCACTTTCCTATATACCTCACCGTCGTCGACTCGCCTTTCGCCCTCTCTTCTACTCTACTCTTCCTTCTTTCCTTACCTATCGTCAACCCGGCGACATTCCGAATTCGTCGCTCGTCCGTCTTCGAAACTCGAATCCTCCCTCCGCAGCTTTCTTGCACGATTCTCAATTAGAGAACGAGAATCGAGTCGATTAGAGGAGGGCGTACAATGGAATAATAGAATGAGTCAAAGTTTTGGGAGTGGTGTATGCGAGATGTATAAAAGATGAGAATGCGAGAGTGCAGATGGAGCACGCCCTCGACATTCCAAAGGCACCGGTTGGAATTTCTCCTGCTCACATCCTACGCGCTATTCTTGCACACGTACTTAGGTGTATATACGCATGTAAATATGTCGGAGAAAAGTGACTTGCGATAGATAAGGATCTTGGACGTGAAGGTTAGCCTACCGGGGACACCCACGAGATCTCGAAAATTCCGCATAAATTTTGCATTAGTTGCTAGTACACTTTGTTGGTTTACACACTCTGGAACGGTGTTCTCCCCTTTTTCTTCTTCTCTTTCCTTTTTTCTCAGAAATTTTATTGTCGTATTAATTTACATTTATACAGTAAGTAGTACCTTGAGTATTCGGTTGTGAATGGCAGCCTTCTTCTATATACACGTAGTTTTCTTTTCGTTTGTTTTTTTCTTTTTCGATTAGTACGCGATCGTGACAATGGTGTCCGCGTGTCCGTCGCGTCCCGATTTTCCAAACGCGCCTGAATTACAAAAGAGGAGAGACTTTCGTTCGCGTCGCTTCGACCCGAGATCACGAGGATCGTGCGTTTTATTCGTCCCGCGTGGTTAGAGGAAGCTGAGAAATTCGCTGTTCTCTCCGTGATCGATCTATCCTCTGCGATAGGGCTTGGGCTTCACTTGAACCTCCTCTCGCTGAGTCTCCTCGACCTCTTCTTGCAAGGGCTTGCTTCCCCTGGATCCTCCGAACCTGCCGCGTCCCGAAGACTTTGCCTCGTTTGCAGTGTTGCTCTTGCTGCGACTATTCGTGGTCGCCCTGAAAGAATCACCGTTCCTTTAGTACTCTGAAACCGGTGGAATCGAAGAGGAGAAGTGTGCGCATTCGTTACTTGGATTTTGCTGTTGTCGATTCAGTGCCAGTTTGAGCAGCAGAGGATTCTTTGTGGTTGGTGCTCGGTCCCACTTGAGCTCTCCTTCTCTTCAGTGCTGCCAGCAGGTCCTGATTCGACCTTGAATCGATTTTTTCACGCCGTCACATATCAGCAAAGAGGGGATTAACGTTTTATAGTGTGCGTCGTTACCTGAACGGTCTAACTCCACCTCGAACCTTCTTCGAAGCCTCCGTCGTCGTGGTGAGGACCTCTTCTTGCTGTTCCTGCTCCTCGTCGAGCTCTTCCTCGCCTTCTTCTTCGAGTTCAGCTGGTTGCTCGACAGGCTTCGCCGTGGTCGATTGTGTCTTCGAAGGAGAATGTTTTAACGGTCACGGGATATGTTTGAAAAGGTTGGTTACACGAATGGAACAAAGGGGTAGAGCCGGTGGAACTCACCGTTGCTGCGCCGGAAGATTTTCTGCCTACGTTCACTCGTCCTCTCGAGGACAATAGTCCACCGAGTCGAGCAGAATTGGATCTAGCCGGTGTTGGAACGACTGGTGCCGCAGCTGGTTCCTCCTCATAATCGTACTCCTCGTCTGCTGACCTGACCACGGCTATCAGGCAAATCGCCACCAACCTGTAAACGAATCAGTTCTCTCAGTCTTTCACGATGTTCGAATGTTCCAATTGTTACTTCGACGTGGCAGGAAATGCAGAATCCCGCGAGGTCGAAAAACGAAGATCTCGAACGATAGTGAAAGGAGGATCTAGGAAATGCCAGCGAACCGAATAATCGACCGCAACAGGAAGTAAAGGACGGAGACTCTCTTCCTCGATTCCTCCTGAATGGAGGTGCGAACGATTCGCGTGTAACCAAGGCTGCTGGGCTATTAATTCGCAATAACCCGGACAGCTGGAGATATTGCGATAATGGGGGGGTTGGAGCGTGTGGCGAAACGGAGGCATTGCACGCGAATCGGTATAGAAAATACTTTTCCTAACAGTAGGAGGCAACGAACTCACATCCGCGCGAGCAATTTACTCTCGGTGGACGAAGCGTAAGGAAGCGTTGCTAACCTTTCGTGGCTATTTCGCGATTCTTTCGCGTGTCACTTGAAATTTCGTCGTCCTTCGACGCAAGTAGGTCAGGTTTTTCCACCGTAAAGGGTTAAAACGATCGCACAGGACACACTGCGGATCGAGCTGTTGCAGTGTGCTGTAACTTTCGCCAGGATCGAAAATAGAATCGGTGACGAGGACGAGAAACGTCCTCCCCGGGGTTGGAGAGGGGAATCGCGTGTACGTAGGAATCGTTACGTAGGATCGTGCACTCGCGGCTGCACGCTCGTGTCGTGGTAGATCCGCGTATACACCAGCTGGATTTTGACCTGTGACATTCACGTACGAAACTGACTTTCTCTGCTTGGCTCGTGCAACTCCGCAGGATTGGCCGCTTGCGAGGGACACACGAAGTACGTGAGGTGGCTCACAAATGTCACGAAAACTAGCCAAACTCGAACCTCGCGAATTTCTCTCGTACAGCTTAAAAGAAAATGGCAGAGTTTTCCTAGAGAACCGCGCTGGTTCCACGGTTCCTCGCGGCTACTGGCCTTTGCGGGTGTCCTGACGCAATTTCGTTGCTCGCTCGAGCGACCGCGGCCGGCCGCGATTGTGACATAACGTCACGGTTCTTCGTTTTCGTGGTTTTTCAAGAGAAATTGCACAGTTTCGATAAGTTGAAAAGGTACACCACAATAGCCACGCGTACGAGATGCCGAGTCCTAATAATGTCAAGGAAAAGCAACGGTGAATTGCGACACGGGTTGATCGATAGTAAAACGCGTTTTCTAATCGATTTCCTGGTTGGAAACGGGATCGACGTTTGCATAACGCGCTTTCCTGCATCCTGTTATTAGTCGTTGATCCGACGATCGGTTTCTGTCGTGTTACGTGCACTACGCGAGCCGGTTACTTGCGACAGTTAGACTAAATACGAGTACGCCACCTTTCGATTGGCCTTGGTCCCTGCTATATTCGGATATCCTTCTTCTCGGTTGCTCACTCGCGAAAATTCATTTGAAGCTGCGTTGGAAATTGTAATACTTACGCGAATATTGCTAACTTCATGGCGTGAAATTCGTTCGTTCGCTGGTGGGTGGGTGCGTGCGTGCGTGCGTGCGTGCGTGCGTGGAAGAGCTGGTTGCGGATGGTGTCCTGCGCGTGCAGCGTGGAAACGTGGATCGGCTGTTACCACGGGCGCGAAGCCGCGAAGAATGAATACGGAGCGGTGTAGAGGGAACCGAAAGCACACCACTGCAATCACGGAGGCTGTGTACTTTGGAGTGCCGAGTCGAGTTTCCCCTTCTCTCTATATATATATCACTCTCTCACTCTCACTCGGCTAGCAGCCACCCGTGCCCGGGCCCATCCACCTATCGTGTACATGTGATTCTGATATATCCTTCGCGAGACCCGCGCCATTGTTCCCCTCCGAGCCACCATTTTCCTCCTTTTTCCGAAAACTCAACAATCTACACCTGTACGCGCGGGAGGAGAAAACGGGCAAAAAGAAAAACGAAGAAAAATTGAATTCTTCAACCTTTTGGTAAATAATTCGTTCAGGATCGCGAAGGACAGATTAGAATAAACTGGTACTTGTGGTACGAGTGGTACTTTTATTCTACCCAAGTACCATAGTCGATTTGACTGGAACGTTAGGCTAAATCGTTCCCAAGAGTCGGCTGACTACCAATGGGAAAAATCAGAGTGCAAAGGGTCAAGTATAAGTGGTCGAGAATAATCCTTCGTATCGCGATTGAACGAATTTGGTAACCGATCGATAACACGGAGGCGACTGAACGGATCGAACAGTCCGGCGATCGAGTCGATCGTCCCCCGAAACGAGCTTAGGACGTGTTTTATAGTTAGATAGAGCGTAAGCAGTGAAAGTGAGCGACACGGAGCCCGCGTATACCTGCCTGCTGTGGGCAAGAATGCGCCAGACACCCTGACCGTTGTCCTCTATTTGCTTTTGTTTCCTACCGCGAGAATTCCTACTGGATTCGTGTAGAATCGTGGCAAAGTTTGCACGGTAGAGCGAACGTCGTAAATATTGTACCAGTAGGAGGCTAAAGAAAGCATCCTCTCGACGGTGTTGCCCGCTAGACGGGAGGACGATTATCCTTGAGATTCCAACGTGTCGTCCTTTAAGCGCAGTCGCTAAACCAGCCGTCGGGGGGAAATTATTCAAAGAGGATATTTCTTTGTTTTCAACGTCGTTCGTTATTTTTTTTTTTTTTTTTTCATTCTCCTCCTCCTTCCGTTTCGATTAATCCGGCCGTGACGAATAAAGCATTCATTCAGGTTCGAAGGGAAAAAGTATCGCAGTCTTGTGCAACGGTCTCTACGTGTACAGGACACGCGCGAATACTCGCTGAAATCGCGATCGAGCGAAATGTGTCTAGGATCGAGGAAAGCTACGGCCTTCCTCCGCTTTGTTTACCGATAAAATCAATTCCAGACAGGTCGCTGTTCGAACTCCTGACGGCGGAGTCGTCTCGGTTCGCGAGATATTCAGGATCTTCCGTGTGCAAATGTCAAGAGGTGTTGCGGCAAGTACAATTGCGCGTTCCAACCTCTCGTTTAACCACCTCGAGCTCTATCGAGAGCTCTCTTGCGCGAAACGAATCTGAAGAATGGAAGAGAGAGAGAGATGGAAGACTTTGTGTATCTCCCGACATATTTCCCACATATTTCCACTGGAATCTCATTCAGTTTCGACCTTAATCCTGACATTTTTCCTCGATTACCGCATCGCTTCTTTTCACCATGGCGGTTCGAGGAAATAGAAGGCGCAGAATTAGTTCGGCTGGCCGAAAGTGTTTGGTCAGCGGTCGAAATCCCTTTCTAGAAATCGGTAGGCTCTAGAATCTAGAAGAACCGTTCGAGCCGCTAGTAAAACTCGTGCTGTCACCTCTCGGCAGTGCTTAGCAGCCTTCGAAAGGATTTACCGTCTTTGTAGGATCGATGGGATCGAACGGAGTACTCGGCCATTTTGTTGCCTTTCATCTTTCCAACGTTTCGCGAAATATCGATCTTTCACGTGGATCCAGCACGAACGATCGTTTTAATTTACTCTCTCTGAAACTCTTCCGACTCGTTTCTTTCTCTCGTCAACTACAGGTAAAGTTAACCAACGGCGCGTTGGTATCGCGTGAGCGTTTCATCGGGATTACGCGAGAATTAAGTTAAATAAATGTCAGATGTACGAAATGTGCGAAGCACCGTTCAGTCCGCTTGAATTGTTACGGTAGAAATTGGCCGTGGATAGAGAAAAGGGCGGGAAAAGACGAATGAAAGTTTGAACTTTCAGTTTCTGCCGAGCAGTAGCGCCATCCGGCAGAGTAGCCGAAGAGGGAACTAAAAGAGTCGAGGAGCTTGTCTGTCACTTGTTGCATCGCCGTCGGCCTGACGTTCGTTCGCTCCGGGCCCGGCGTGCTTGAACCGGTGCTCTCCTCGTCTATTTCTATCGTTACTTCCCTATTCCTTCGAGTCTTCGAGTCGTTCTCTCGAGTACGGTGCAAGTTACTCGTGAGAACAATTACATACGCGCAAGAAGATTTCGAAGGAGCGAATTGTCAGTGTCGCGTGTTCTCTTCACCCGTGAACATCTCCTTGGACCGTAAATTGGATCTTCTGCTCTCGCGTGGGTCTGACTAATTTGCTATTCGTCATGGTGAGTAAACATCCGAGAAGATCGGTCCCGTGCCGAACTTACGAAAGGGAAGTAAATTCAAAGTTCGCGTTATACATATTGGCGGGTAACTTGAAAACGATCGACGTTAAACGTAGAATATCGCTACTTCGTTCGAACGAATTGGGCTCGGCTGGTAGGTAGGTAGTTGCAGGTAAAAGAACGCGGGTTCTTCGTATTCACGGCTCGGATCTCTGCTTCTTCTCTGAAGGAGGGAGGCACAATGGCTGCGTACATACAATAGACGCGATCGTCCGTGCATGCTCGATCGAAAGGAGCTGTTATCAGCTTACGAAAAATCTACGGTCTCGCACATACACAGATGTATTTCGTGGAAGACCGTTTCATTGGAAGTTTGCTCGAATGTTCGCGACTCGTAGCTGTCGTTGGCTCCTTTGTTTCCTGGTCCAGTGGCGATGGACGCTACGGTGCTACGTCCATTTCTCCGCTCTCTTTCTCTCTCTCTTATTCTCTCGCCTTCGACACCGCCACCACCATCGCCTCCTCCTCCTCCTCCCCCTCCCCCTCCTCCTTCTTCTCGTCCGTCTCATTCTCGCGTTCTCTCGGAACCAGTTTCCAGCTGTCAGCGTCCAGTTTCTCGTACGTGTGCGCCGTACTACGTGTATGCAATGATTTTTCTCGGTGCACGAACGCTGCTGACCCATGGTAACCTCGAGCCGCTCGAGCACGATCTCTCTCTTCTCGATCGTTCGTTCGATTTTTCGGCCGTACGCCGGAGGAAAGGAAAGAAACGTTTACGCGTCGCCTCGACCGAAATAATTTTCTCCCCCAACGAAAGGCGAAGGGCGCGCGTCTGGACCGAAATAGGCGGATGCGAGGCGAGTGGTTCATTCATGGGAGAGAGACGGACGTGTAGCGTGTAGGAGGAGGGCCGAAAAAGGAGGACGAAGGGCGGGGAGGGGTGTAGAGAGGGCTGATTCAAGCGTCGGGGCTTAAATTCGTCGTAGCCGAATAGTCGTAAGGGAGAGGGGGAGAGAGATGTCTTCGACCGTTCTGTTTACTCGAGACTTTTCTTTCCTTCGGGACGGACTGGGAAAATCACGCGAGGGATCGAGCAGATGCTCGTTCCTTCAGGTCAAATCTTTCCCAGGTATTCGCCAAAAGTATCCCCCCGTCGTTTTGTACCTGCGTGTTTCCTTCCGCCTCGATAGATTTACGATCCTCCGCGATCGAAGATGGTATGGTTCGCGCGTGTCGCCATTTCCCCGCGTAGTTGCACGCTCTGCCTACATAAATTACCTGCCTATATTTCCAAAAACTATCTAACCTACAATTACACTGTAAATGATACTATTTTGAATTCTGTGACGGAAATACGTGATCTTGGTGTCATTTTTTCCTCCGATCTTTCATTTTCTAAGGATATCTTAGTTACATCAAGTGCAGCTTTCCTTACTCTTTGCTTAATTCACAGGGTCTCGAAGTACTTTAAGAACGTTAATACAATGAAAATTTTGTTCTGCTCCTTGGTTCTATCACGTTTAGAATATTGTGCTATTGTCTGGTCACCCCATCATCGCTATCTCTCCTCCAAACTTGAAGGCTTCCCGTAAGCTAAATTGTAGTATGTCTCGCCTTGATCATAACTATTCGCCTGCTTTATCTCGTCTTAACCTTTCATCTCTTGAACGTCGTGAGAATAGTATTTGATCTTATTTTTGCTTTTAAAATATTAAATGGTCCCTCTTGCTGTCCTGCTATCTTATCCAAATTTTATTTAAATACATCTCGGCCATCTCTGAGACACCGTCTAATATTACGTACTGAAGCCAGTTCAATTGTCTAAATAGAATTTTTATCAATGCCGATAGATTTTACTGTTCTCTCAATTTTTCTTCCTCCCTTATTACATTTAGAAATAATACTATGCGATTTCTGGCCCCTTACGACTTTTCTGTGCAATCTATCTGTCTCTTTGTAGTTTATTGTTTTTCACTTTTGTTTACCAAAGGGTTAAAACCCGTGTACTAATAAGTAAATAAATATTAACGAAGTGTCGAAGAAACTACTCGTCTAGACGACAAAGCCCCGTTAACCGCGACACGGTTTCCGTTTTTCCGTAACTGGCTCGATTCTCACACACGTCCGAAAACGCTTCTTCTCCGAAACGATACCGACAGTGCCGCGGCGTTGCACAAGCGGCCTCTCGAAGGAGCTCCACGTACGGGGGACAGCTTTTCACGCGGAGGACACGGTCGTGTGTGTTCTGCCTCGCGATCGAGAGGAATCGAGACGAGGCATATCCGTGTCGAGGTCGACGGAGAGTTCTTTTATTCGTGAAAGGTGGTTACGTTCGGGGAGAATTCGAGACGGTATCGTAATAGAGAAGGAAAGCAGCCAGGGGCTCGTACCT